GCAGAAAAAATATGTCATACAGTTTGATTTGAATTATTCGCCTGCACACATGCTGCTATTATATAGACATTAGTACCATTCCTTGCTTAATTGACAATATTTTATTTTATTATTTTATTGTAGTCCGTAGTAAATAATCACTAATGCAATATTCTATAAAAGAACTTTTGTCATCTCTTTACATAAAATGTCGTTGCGTCTCTTTGATATTAAAAAATCAAGGTAATTTTATTTTATAATACAACATTCCAATAACACGTTCTCTATCCTACGACCCATATATAGGTAGCAAATTCATTTATCTATAAGTCTTGCGAACCATATCTGGGTCGTAAATGTATGTTCTGTTATAGCTTAATATTAAGAAGGATGTGTCAGTAAATTATTGCTTTCTTTAAGAGGTTATTTTGATAAAAAAACAATTTATTCTATCAAAAAATAACCGAGATACGGCATATCAAAAATGGGGTTACAAAATAATGAAAACATTCTTTTTAAAAGTGTATACAAGGGAAACAGAGAGAATCAATGATTTTCTGCGTAGCAAGAAATACAGAATGCTTGGTTGCACAAACGGCAAAAACTTGAGACTTTTTTTACATGCTTCTTTTGATGTAAGACTATTTCTCAACTTAGTATAACACCCATGACAGCGTTTTCTTTATATTTTGTCATCGTTACCTCTAGGTAGCTCTTCTAGCTTATGGGCTCCCTCCCCTTGCTTTTTGCCTCATGTTTTTCTTGCCTTTTAATCTTTTCATAGACAAGTGTAATAACTAGATAATTTGTCAGAGATGTCTACCCCCTGCTTTTCCTTGTTATACTTTATTATAGCTAAGGCTTTGATTTTATCTTCTCCATTTCTGTTTTTCCCATAAACTTTTATTTAATGATCAGGGCATGTGGAAAGCACTTGGACATCACTTTGATCGTGCCACTTGAAAAATGTTATACAATTATTTTGTTTGGCAATTATCTGTCCTTTTTTAGTTTGCAATTGACTACATCTTTGGGCAGGCCTATTCTATTTTTTCTCAAGGTTCCTGACAGATTTTCTCGTAGAGCTATTTGGCAAGTTCAATGATTGTATAATAATTGTCAGCTGTAATCAGTCTTCCAGCATTGAACAAGGGATCAACTAGTTCAACAACTGTACTACCAGGAAGATATAGTCCTTGGCGTCTTTCATTTTGTCCACTGTAAATTTTTAGATCCCAAGTGTATCTAAGAAAGAGCACACTTTTAATAGTTTGATACCATATCTATGGGCTTTTGATGGAATATACTGACAAAATTTTAGACGACCTATGAAAGGAACCATGGTTTCGTCCACAATAACTATCACCAAGAGAATGCACATTTCTCAGGTTATTTTTAACAAGATTCAACAAGTGTGCAATTTTTAACAAGCGGCCTTATAAAGGTATTGTTTTGTCTTTAAAATGCCAATATTTCAGCAACAATGCAAAACGGTTATACTTTATAGAAAGCCGGTGGAAAAGTTCATGATAATACAATGTGTCGTTTTTCCAGTAACATTCCAGAGTAGGAAAGTCTATAAGTCTCATAAGCAGAAGCACACCTAAAACATAGTCAGACGTCACTATAAAAATCAAAGTTGTAATTACTTACCATTAAATGTTTTTATTTCTTCTTCGTCTGTATCTAGAAATTCTTGCTGAGCGTACTGAACGTTTTTTGCGTTAAAATTCTAAAGCATAATTATTTATTTATTCGACCATTAGCTCAATAATATGGTGAGTTATAAATAAACTAAAAATATCTTTAAGTTCCATATCTTGAGTAATTTAAATGTTTGTTCCACCTACTGAACTAAATGTAAATCTTGAAAATAAAAGTATGGTTGACGACTAAAAATGGGGATCACTCTCATTCATTTCATCTTCTGAAACTGCACTAGTTTTTTGTTTACTTTCATCTTGAATGTAACTATCATCCGTTTCTTCATTAGAACTTGAATCACCATCTTTATTTCCATAATGCAGGTCTGCCACGCTGTCGTCTGAATCAAAATTACTGGTAGAACTTATTTCGGATAGGTTTTTCGCGATATCTTCTAACTCTCTTTCGATTAGTTTACATTTTATTCCGGACATGGCCGTATTTTTAGGAGGAAACTCTTTTAACTGAGTAACACAACACGCCTATTCGCACGCTCGAGAAAGACTACCAAACAATATTGGCGGGCTGAAATACAGAACACATACTAATTGCGGAACGTTGCCAAATATTCAAAGTTTTATTTTACGACTCACATATAGGTCGTAGGACGTAGGTCGTACATCTACATGGGGCATACAAATTTAAGTGGGGTCATGTAACGGTTTGCGGAAAAATACCATTAGGACAGTAAACGTGTTAAACACCTTTTTAGTAAATCTAATAGTTTATTATGATGACAATAAACAAAGTACGTTCCTGTCACAGAGTTTGGGTCTCTTCCCGGTTTCTTCACTCCATTAACTTTTCTTTAGAAATTGGCAACATTCGCGCAGGTTAAAACACCGGTGTGCGTTACATTTCTGGTCTCCTTAATCTAAGTCCAGTCAATAGTAAAAAAGTGTTTGACGTCAAGTGGCTTCTCAAATTACATTTTGGATCCGATTGGCAACCGTCCTTAAAATTTTATGTAGACTTTTTCGCCTTTTGTGAAGGCCGTGGTATAGAGAATGCAGAGCTTTCAGTTTCAGAAAATTTAGAAGAAATATGTGATCCAACTTTACTATTTATTATTAATTTTAAGCATTGTAAAAAAAAGTTGTTTTGTGCTTAAACAGTTTGTAGCTTCAGACTTTTTAAATTCGTTTATACTGAACACGCTCATCGGAGTTAATCGATCTGACGTCAAATTCGGCTATAATTTAATTAATATAAATAGATTGCTTCACCACTAATCAAAACAATGCTTTTCTATATGCTCCCTCTAGTATATGCATAAATGTATAATTTAAAGGACAGCTAGAGCCTACTAATAAATTGGGTAGACGTACAATCATATCAATGGCTAACATATTTAAAGAGTTAGTCCATACAGTGCATAATATATATTTTAACTTAAAAACTATTTACAAATGAATGCTTCATAATACACGGACAAATTTAGTTTAATATGCTTATAATATAATACAAGTAAACTTTGCCAAGCAAAACGTGTGTACTGCGAATTGTATAGGACAACCCGAGCGAGAAATGAGCCCTCTTTGGCATACTCTCCGTATTGTTTAAGACGAAGTCGTCCTTTTGTCCGTTCGACAAGATTGTTCTCTGTGAATAATGCTCTCAGTGTAGGTATACGTTGTTCCCGTTAACAGAGATTAGCCAAAAAGCGGCTGAATTGCAAGAAACTGTCTCACACGTTTGGCAATTGAAAATTAATTTAAACAAAAAACAAATAAGAAAAATATATTCCAAACGCAAATGTGGCCAAGAAGTAATGAAGGAAGAATAAAAGAAAACACCTACTACTTTAAGTAATACTTCTTTTTTACTATTTTAAACTCTTTAGGACAACATGTTAATATTTTCTCTATATTAATTACTAGCTTGCTCTTTGTTAACAATTTATGTATTTTAACCTTCTCCTGGGTTCGGGTGAAAGATAGGAAAGCATTCTAAATAGCTGAGGATCACATTAACTTTTTGTTCGCACCTTTTTTCCACTTGTCCAATTTTCTATTCGTATTGAGAAAATGTGTTGAATTGGTTTATTTTTTTTGACAGCATTTCATATTAAGTGGTTGACAAAGCATTAAATAATCTGGATAAGTGAATATAACTTCTCTGCCTAACTGTCTTTTTTGAAAATTCAGTTTTTAGGTTTAAGTTATTTTTATATCTAGTAGGATAATTATGTTCAACATAATAATAGTTATTTATATTTATAAATCATTACTTTTAGAAAATACATTTGCCTAATATCTAAGACTCCACTATCTTTATAAAGCGCAGAAGACAGGTAAGTAGGTTCCTTTTGAAATATTATTTTTAAAAAGCGCTTGTGGATAACTTCTAGTATTTTCAAATAACATTGAGCCACTCCTCTCCATTCTAAAATACCATAAAAGAGTCGAATTCCTACAAATGCATAACCATTTTTAACGGACTTCAAAAAAGGAGAAGATTCTCTATTCGTCGGAATATTTTTTTGTATGTATGTTTAGCAAAAATTTTAGTTTGATTTCTATGATATTAGTAAGAAAGAGGAGATCTTAGGGATGGTCACATATAAATTTGGTCAAGATCTAATAATTGGATCCATAAGAGCAAGATCATGTCAAGTGGACCCCCTATTTCCACTGAGAATAAAAATTAAGTCCATTTATTGTTTTTATAAGTAGTTGCCATGAAAAATTAATCCCCCAAATAATTTTTCAAAATTTTCATTTTAAAAATTAGATTTTAAATGAACCGTTAAAGATAAATTAATGAACTTTTCAGGATTTATTATAAAAAATATATATTTTGATAAAATATTAATAACTTAAAATTATTTGTTTATTATCATATTGTTAATTAATTTTTAAATAAACAAATGAAAATTTCATTGATATCTCGGTAAAAAAATAAAGTTTTTTTTTATCGGTTACATGCTTTATTTATTAAAGTTTAATATTCCAAAAGAAAATCTCACTGCTCGCTATTAGTTTAAACAATGTGAATTTATTTATCATAGCGCGCCGGGCGCCAGGCGCTGTCAGAACACCGCGCGGCCGAGCGTCTCAGGCTACACTGCAGCTTTGGTCATTTATAATTCAAAATATTAATAATAATAAGTTTTATTCTTTCAATGTTATGAACAATTCAATATTATAATTTTATTATTTTAAACAATATGACTAATACAATAAAATAATTTTCTATTATTACCCAAAAACAAGGAAAACGAACACATAATTAAATATTAAATTTTGTTGACACTCGCTATTTTTTTTTAAAAACTTTGTTAATGAAAACTTTCTCATCTTCCGAAATGCACTTACATTGCAATGATACATCATTCAATGGTTTGTAATAGTGAAATTGGCGAGTATTTTTTATCGTAACTGTTCGTTCGAATCGTTGTTGGTACTTTTGTTCATGTACGTCATGATCCTTTTGATAACAAAAAGCAAAATTAATTTTTTTAAAATAACTTTCAGCCCACTGGAATAAAGAGAGTGGTGTCGTTATATGTTTATTATTGTCACGTTGAAGGCTAGCACGATAAGCCTGTCTTTTTACACTTACTGCTAAGCCATCACATGCTCCTTTGCCATGGGATGTGGCGAAAAAATTCCACTCCGCTTCAACAGCAAAATAATTCTTGTGATTGATTAAGTTGGCAAAGTTATATTTATTCTTATATTGCGAAGCTGCCCCATCGGAAAAGTACTTAATTTTTTTAACGTTATCGGCACCAAATTTATTTTTTAAAAATTCAATCAATTTTGTATTGAAGAGATGTACCGAACTTGCATCGTGACTAAGTTTCTCTGAAATCATCACAAAATTTCCATGCTTCATTTCTCCATTTTCTTTATAATATGCAACGTACGGATGAAGCGTAGCCTGATCATTGGACCAATGATGCGATTGGATAGCGTCTTGCACAAAGAAAGAATAGTTTTCTGAAAAATCGAGACATACTATAAACTCTCCAACTTCAACAGATTCTTTTTGTTTGGAAAAATAAGACGCTTGAGACTTTGCCACAAAATCGTGCTTTAATAGCTCTGACCACTTATTTTTTAACTCATTAAAAAATTCTTCTTTTGTATACTTTGCTTCAACGATTTCAGTCCTGAAACATTTCAAACGAATGTATTAGATTATAAACGGCGTAAAAAAATTTAAAAAAATAATTAGTTAAATTGATAAAATGAAATTCAATAACTTTGTATCAATTATGTTAGTGTGATAAATTTTTACTTTTATTATTTGAGAAACAAATAGAAGTTTTTTAATTATCTACTGAACAAAATATTCTTTTTAAGTGTGTACTGACCTCAATAATTATATGAGTAATTTTTTTATATCCAGTCTTTTTTCTTACCTATCGGTACTTTTCCATTGGCTAAAAGATATTTCCTTTATCTCATGACTATCAATAAATAATTTTAACTTTTCACTTTTTGCACGTAGAGAAAAAACACGATGATGTTGGTTGCACGCAAACAGTGCTTTGAATCAAGTCATTTGAACTTTCAGAGAAATCAATTCTTTTCTTTTTGAGTTCATTTTTCAATCCATGTAATTGTAATTTTACATTTTGATGAATTTTGCATACACACACATTATGTGTTCCGCCTTTTCCAGCAGAAATACATTCCCGAGGTCTTAAAGTTTGAAATTTGGTCTGCCCAATTTTTTCACCAGGAAAACCTTTTTTAAATTTTTTATAAAAATAATTTATGTTAAATAATAAGAGTCTTTTTCTTTAATTCTAGGCATCACACGGCTAATATCATCTGATAAATAAAAAAATTTAACGCGATCGAGTGTTGAATCGTCTAGGCTTTTACCTTTTTTAGTATCATGCTCTGACGCAAATCCTGATTTTTTTCTAATATTTTTCGCAGCTTGTACCATTCTCTTCGAAATGTTAAATTCGCGTCGTATCAGTTTTATTGGCCAATCCAAAGGAAGAGTAGACAACACTTGGATTCTTTCGGATCTACTAGTTGTTTGGTTAAAAGCAGACTTAAAATTATTCATAAGAACTTCATTTGGATTGTTATTATTATTTTCACTACCACTCAATTTCTTCACGGAAGTTGAAATAGCTTTTTTGCACTCGGAGACACTTGACACTCGTCTCAATTTTATTGGTGGTTCACCGAACTCCGATAGCAATTTATTAACGTTATCAATTTTTAGTCGATTATCCACAGCATTGCATTTGAATGTCGGATCTTTCTTGTTATCATCTTTGATCTCATCAACTTCTGGATCAGTAGCATCAACACTTGAATTGTTATTTACAGGTTTTTCACAAGGATTTTCCGGTATCCCAGGTTTACGGCCCAGATAAATTGCCCTCTCACAAGAATTACACATGTAATATCCAATAAAATCCTTAAAATCGCGAGCTCGATTAGCTGTAATTAAAACTAAGTTTTTAATGACGTATGTATGATTTTTTTTATGTAATGGATTGCAATATTTATTCACTCGGCCCATTTTAAATCACAAGAAATATTAAAATAAGTTTAAATTATAATATTAATGAATTGATAAACAAAACACAAATTCACAAAACCTCAGCTCTTGTTTTTAATAATTATTTAACTCATATGCGTATGAACTTATAAAGAATAAACTGGAATGCCTACTAAAATTATTTTGTTATTTACGTGGATACGTCAGTAACAAATGAAAATCGTAACCAAGTCAAAATGGAGTACTTACTAGTAAATTTGGAAATCATAGCTTACTGATTTACCAAGTAAAAATAAATATAGAATAACATGGTTTTGTAAAATTTATAATTAAGTATTTCTTAATTTTCTTTGTTTAGTGTAATAATAAAAAATATTTTATTGCATTGTTCATAACATTGAAAGAATAAAATTTGTTATTAATAATAATATTTTGAATTGTTATTTTTAATTATAAATGACCAAAGCTGCAGTGTAGCCTGAGACGCTCGGCCGCGCAGTGTTCTGACAGCGCCCGACGCCCGGCGCGCTATGATAAATAAATTTACATTGTTTAAACTAATAGCGAGAAGTGAGATTTTCTTCCGGAATATTAAATATAAATAAATAATGCATGTAACCGATAAAAAAAACATCATTTTTTTTACCGAGATATCAATGAAATTTTAATTTGTTTATTTAAAAGTTAATTGACAATATGATAATAAACAAATAATTTTAAGTTATTAATACATTATTAAAATATAGATATTTGACAATAAATCCTAAAAATATTATTAATTTATCTTTAACGGTTGATTTAAAATCCATTTTTTAATTAAAAGTACTCAAAATTTTTATTCTTAAAAAAATTACTGTTAAAATCAAAATTTTGAAAAATTATTTGGGGGATTAATTTTTCATGGCAACTACTTTTAAAAGCAATAAACGCACTTGATTTTTATGATTAAGTGGAAAATAGGGGGTCCACTTGACGTGATCTTGCTCATAAGAAACTCATCAAACTCTTCATTTTTTAAGTATATTTAGAGTTAATTCTTTACCACGTTGTCCAAATTCTAGGATTCTTTTTTGTTGGAAAGAGGATACATCCATATACAATTGGTCAGGATCTGATGATCTTTGAGAAAATAAAAAAATCACAATTTTTAAGGGCACCTGCATGATTTTGAATTTGGTTTTTTAAAATTACTTTTATAACTTGTTAATTGTTGTATATAAAGTATTTGGGATAGATCTTTTATTTTAACTAATAAAGGTCTTAAGAAACTAGCAATATTGCTGATAAATTTACCCCACCAAAGATGCTAATCAATAAGTACGCCTAAGTACCTATTTAATTTTTTGCTCTATGTATTACACAATTTGTGGTATTGATGTTTAATGTGTTAAAATCAGGTAAGATTGTTTTTTTACAGATAAAAGAAATAAATACAGTTTTTTACAGTTTACTGTTAGTGTGTTATAAGCAAACCAATTAACAATTTGCAATTTCTTTAATTTTCTTCTGCATTTGTGCATTGTATAAGATTGCAGTGTCATCTGCAAAAGGTATAATTTTTCTCATCGAGTTTATCAAAAAGAGATTATTCAAGTATATAGAAAATAACACTGGTTCTAATACCGTACCTTGAAGGACACCGTATATCACCAAATCTGATTCACTATTCTTTAAACCTATGTTGATAAATTGTTTTCGGTTTGTGAGATAGTTTTTAAAGAGTTTCAAGAGTGTTCCTCGTATTCCAAGATCTTGAAGAGTGTCCAACAACTGAGCTTGACTCACAGTGTCAAACGCCTTTGCAATATCGAGAAATACATATAGCGATGCATTACTATTATATAAATTTTTATATAATTCCCCAGAAAATAAAGCAATTGCGCCTCTTCTCTCTCTCCCTAAATCCAAATTGCTGGTCACTTACAGCCGTATGCATAGTCGATCGCCAGCGACTCGCCAGAGATTCATTTCGGCGTATCCCAGCGATTCGCTGGCGATCCGCCGGTGAAAGCACAAAAAACTGGCGACTTGCCGGAGATTGTCACCGGAATGTCATTTCACGCAAGTTTTCATTTGATATTCGTTCATTATTTTTTGAGATTTAAGAAATGATTCATGAATAAAATGCGAGAGATACCGGTGATAATTCCTATAAAAGAAAATAAAAACTTGAGTGAAATGACATTCCGGTGACAATCTCCGGCGAGTCGCCAGCTTTTTGGGCTTTCGCCGGCGGATCGCCAGCGAATCGCTGGCGATACGCCGAAATGAATCTCTGGCGAGTCGCTGGCGATCGACTATGCATACGGCTGTTAGTATATTAGACTTATTTAAAAATGTTGTTACACTTTCTTTTAATGCCCTTTTAAAAATTTTTGCAACATAAGAAATTCCTGTTATTGGCCGATAATTTGCTACATCCATTTTTAAATATTTCATCAGAATTTCCGTTATATCATCTACACCAGAAGTTTAATTATTTCTTAGCGAGTTGATGATTCTTATAATTTAATTTTTGTCAGTTGGAGTTAGGAAAATGCTATCTCCTACGTATTTTCTAGGAGGAGAAGCAGTTGAAGGTTGAGTTATGTTTTCCCTACAATTAAATAATTATTAGTAAATGTATTATTTCTAACTCATCAGTTATAATGTTGTTTTTGTAATTAATATTTTCAACACTTTTGATTTTGTTTTTAATGTTTTTCACATGTTATGCGGAATTAGTATTTTTTCTATTTCATCTTTGCCGTAATTGATTTATGTATTTTTTATTAAATATTAAATAATATAAATTAAAAATTCTTGTTTAATTTATTGATCGTTCAAATTTTCTTTTTATAATTTTCGTATATGATGTCCCTTTCATTAATTAATTTCATTAAACCTTCTCTTATTTACTTATTGCTTTTTTGTTTTATTTATTTTTCGTTTTAAAATACTAATATTTTTACTTATACAAGTTTAAAATACATGCCATCGCCTGTTCGACATCGGTAATGCTATAAAGCTAATTCAATTATAATTTAATAAAATCAAATTTTACTTTTTTCATATCAGTGTGATGTTTGTTTATTTTAAACAACAGTTTATTTATTAATAATTTATTTTATAACACTACTATTCTAATTTATATATATATATATATATATATATATTTCGAATGTCTTTAAACTGTTCACTATTTATCTTTACTGTCCAGTGTCCATATATCTAATTGATTGATTGCACTATGTTCTTCCACCAATATTTATATACCAATTTCTAATTTTTGGTGGGTTCCACAACGCTGCTCCACCAAACTAGAAATATTTGGAATATACTAGAAACATTATCCCGTTCTTTCTCGAATAGTAATCGAAAGCACCTCCGCCATAGTCGTCACATATGTTTGGTCTTAAGGGGTTTAATTATGTATGATAATCGGACAAGTTGAGCCTAAAAGGCCAAATAAGACAGAGAGGGACTTGGAGGATTAGAGCATGACTGAATAATGAAATGGCTCACATTACATTGCCCCCTCCTTAAGAGATAGTTCCTCCTGGAACTATTACGAAACTAAAATGGAATGGTTGTATCTGCAACTGAACCCTCTTTTACAATTTCCAGTTACATGGAAGTAACAAGGTACTGTCTTCGCTATAACCTGGGTACAGGGCGAATGGCTGCAGACCAGTATTTGGACTCCGGTATCTTAAAAGATTACTTCCACCATGTTCCCAATGATCCTCCAATCCAGCTGGTTAATGTTCCATTTTGTTCTTATATTTTGGAGGACAGTGTACTTCAGACATATTTATAGGGCCTACTTCTGTACTCAGTGTTACTGTTGTTGCTTGTAGGTGGCTTTCAATGTAACTTTTAAGTTCGTGGTGTTTAATTTGCCTACGTATGATAATAGCCGTTCCCCATGTGCTGTTCCAACAGGGCGATTTGTATTGTAAATTGTGTAATTTGGTATTTTTAGATATAATTTGTTTGGTGGAGTGTGTTTCTATAATTAACATATCTTGTTTTTATTTATGAATGTATTTACCTTTTATATATGTTGGCTTAATCCGTTGCCATTCCATTCCACTACTTTTAATATATGTGCTTTTATTTTATTTTGTTGATGATGAGATTTATCATTGTAGTCATTTATGTTCTTGGATCCTTCATCATTAGTTTTAACTCTGTTAAGTCATTTGACTGCTATGGAATTTGGTTAATAATGGCGTTATGTGTGTGCTGTACCTGCTGTTGGTCCCAATTACTTGCGCATATGATGTCTGTTACATTTCGTTGTTTTTTGCTATCTGCGGGATTTTACTGATTTGATTTTTCTCTTAATGTATGGTAAATTTTCTGTTGTAACTGTTTGTGTACTATACAATTCAGATAGTTTACAGGTTGGTTTTCTTGGCAGTTTACGCATTGTACTGCAATATCCTTGATATTCCTGGGGCATTCAGTAGTATAATGAAATCCCGTGCATTTTACATACATGAAACTTTTTAATTTAAACATTTAAATACATTTTTAAATAAGTTCAGGTTGAAACCTTTCCCAGTATGTATGTTTTTTCATTAGTGTTAAGTTAAGAATATAGGAAAGTGATTAGAAATTAAAACAAAATTATGTGAAAATTATTGATATTAGTTTGATCATGCCTTCTTTACAAGGAGAAAGACTTTATAAGGATTACGTCAATTAACTTTTCTTATAATATGAGAAACGTTAGCTAAAAATCGCACTGTTCAAAATTATATAATCTGTTCTCATTAAAAATAAATTTGTTTCGATCAATTACCAATTTATTGTTCGGACTCGCCTTATATATAAGGACCAAAACTCCAAGTCGGTGGATTTTTTATAGCCTTTTAACTAGAACAATTCCCTTGATTGGGAAAAAGCCAAACTCAGCCGTTTCTCGCAAGAATTTCGTGCGGTCGCGATTAAGCTCCATTTTACGGCTCAATTATTGCTCGAACTGAATTCCTGAAAGTTAATAAACTTTTACAACTTTCCTACGGGTAATACATGGAAGGTATTTTAATTGAATATATCTTCCGTGGTATTAAACGGAGAGGCGGGAGAGGTTGGAGGTGGAGCACAGACCAGTCAGCTCCGGGAACATTGACTTGAAAAAAAGTTGGGAGAATTGGCCGAATTTTTTGTAACAAAGGTCTATTTCTAATAAAAAGCAGAATGTCACAAAGTTAGTTAATTGGAAAAAAAATGTTTATACTGAGGGCATTTTAAAATTAAAACTGTCAGGACCGGTTTCTG